CGCGATTTCAGAGAAATGATGGATCAACGGCACTAAGGAGTACTGCCTAGTAGTAACACTGGACATCAAGAATGCCTTCAACTCAGCCCGTTGGGACTGCATCATGGAGGCTCTTGCCAAATTGGACGTACTAGGATACTTGCGGAGGATGGTTGATAGCTGTTTCACCGGGAGGATCCTCAAGTACGACACGGAGTGTGGTCCCAAGCAGTATGAAGTCACAGGAGGGGTACGCCAAGGCTCGGTGCTGGGTCCTTTACTATGGAACATCATGTACGACGAGCTGCTGAAGCTGAAAATGCCACGGAGGACCGAGCTCATGGCATTCGCAGATGACGTAACCGTAGTCATCGTCGGGAAGTACCTGGAGGAAATGAATCGTGTCTTCTGCAACGTTTGAAACGATCCGCTGTTGGATGGACTCTGTTGGACTGGACCTGGCGGAGCATAAGACGGAAGCCGTATTGATCACCAGTCGGAAGAAGATCGAGACGATCACGCTGCAAGTCGGGTCTTATGAAATCACCTCTCAGCCATTCATTCGATACCTGGGGGTGATGATCGATGCACGACTGAAGTTCAAGCAGCAAGCAGAGCATGTGGGGGCCAAGGCATCTGGCGTTAGATCCACCTTATCACGCCTCATGCCTAACATCGGGGGAGCCAAGCAAAGAAGACGGGCACTGTTGTCTTCAGTGATTACTTCGGTGCTCACATATGGTATTCCCATTTGGGGAGAGGCATTCCAGTTGCAGGAAGCGCGACGTAAGATCGCACCAGTCTACCGACTGAGTGCCCTTAGAGTTGCAAGTGCATTTCGGACAGTTTCTGAGGACGCGGTGTGTGTCATTACAGGAATGCTGTCGATAGAAATATTGGCTGAGGAGCGGCAGGTCTTGTACAAACGTAGGAGATCCGAAGCGCTGAGTCCTGAGGAGCTGACGCTGGAAGAGAGGCGAAACAGCCTGCGGAAATGGCAGCTGAAGTGGGACAACTCGATCAAAGGGAGATGGACCTATCGTCTGATCCCCAAGGTGAATGTCTGGCTAAATCGAAACCCCGGAGAGGTGAACTACTACCTAACGCAGATGCTTACGGGGCACGGGTGCTTTAGAGCGTATCTTCATAAATTTAAATATGAAGATTCCTCGAAATGCTTAACCTGCACGGACGTGGATGGAGATGCGGAGCACGTGTTCTTCGTATGCCCTCGTTTCAGCGAGACAAGGCGTACCTGGGTGTCTACACTTGGAAGGGACGTATTGCCTGAAAATCTGATGGATGCTTTACTATCATCGCAGGCAGCCTGGGACGCGACGCGCCATTTTGCGGCTGAAGTCATGAAAGAGCTCAGAAAAGAAGAACGCCAATGCAGAGCCGCAACTTAGACGGAGAACCTACTGGAACCTTCTATCTACACCTAAGAACTTAGTAGGCTAGGAGGACGTACATTAGGCCGGAAAGAGGAAGAGCCAATAGCTGTGACCTCCCTCACGAAGTAATACTTAACGGTGGTGCCACGAGGGATTCAAAGGTTAGTGAATTTGTCTGATAGGAGTTTAGTGGGTATTGACAGTCACTGTCCGAGCCCCACACTCACCTGACGGGGGGAAGCCCCTACTCCCTCCCTCAGGTGGTCGTGCGTAAATGCATTTTCCAATAGACGAAAAAAGAAAAAAAAACACTCACACACNATTCCAGTTGCAGGAAGCGCGACGTAAGATCGCACCAGTCTACCGACTGAGTGCCCTTAGAGTTGCAAGTGCATTTCGGACAGTTTCTGAGGACGCGGTGTGTGTCATTACAGGAATGCTGTCGATAGAAATATTGGCTGAGGAGCGGCAGGTCTTGTACAAACGTAGGAGATCCGAAGCGCTGAGTCCTGAGGAGCTGACGCTGGAAGAGAGGCGAAACAGCCTGCGGAAATGGCAGCTGAAGTGGGACAACTCGATCAAAGGGAGATGGACCTATCGTCTGATCCCCAAGGTGAATGTCTGGCTAAATCGAAACCCCGGAGAGGTGAACTACTACCTAACGCAGATGCTTACGGGGCACGGGTGCTTTAGAGCGTATCTTCATAAATTTAAATATGAAGATTCCTCGAAATGCTTAACCTGCACGGACGTGGATGGAGATGCGGAGCACGTGTTCTTCGTATGCCCTCGTTTCAGCGAGACAAGGCGTACCTGGGTGTCTACACTTGGAAGGGACGTATTGCCTGAAAATCTGATGGATGCTTTACTATCATCGCAGGCAGCCTGGGACGCGACGCGCCATTTTGCGGCTGAAGTCATGAAAGAGCTCAGAAAAGAGGAACGCCAATGCAGAGCCGCAACTTAGACGGAGAACCTACTGGAACCTTCTATCTACACCTAAGAACTTAGTAGGCTAGGAGGACGTACATTAGGCCGGAAAGAGGAAGAGCCAATAGCTGTGACCTCCCTCACGAAGTAATACTTAACGGTGGTGCCACGAGGGATTCAAAGGTTAGTGAATTTGTCTGATAGGAGTTTAGTGGGTATTGACAGTCACTGTCCGAGCCCCACACTCACCTGACGGGGGGAAGCCCCTACTCCCTCCCTCAGGTGGTCGTGCGTAAATGCATTTTCCAATAGACGAAAAAAGAAAAAAAAACACTCACACACACACACACACGCACACACACACACACACACACACCTGTGGCAGTTGCCGGCGACTTCAATTCCTGGGCGGTCGACTGGGGCAGCAGGTACACCGACGTAAGGGCACGAGCACTACTGGAGGCTATGTCAACCATAGATCTAGTTCTCCTCAATAGTGGTGAAAAACCAACATTCATGAGGGGAGAGGCAAGTTCGATTGTGGACCTGACCTTTGTGAGCAGTGCCCTCGTGAGGGGTAATTACTCCTGGGAAGTGTTAGACTTATACAAAGCCAGGGACCACTGTGCAATACTATGGGAGGTATCGAGGTTCAGAGGGTTGGAGAAGCATGCCCGAAAACCAATACAATTGGCTGGAAGGTTAGTAACTTCGACCTTGACACGTTTTTGGTTGCGCTGGACGCTCGCCCAATCGATGGTAGAAATGTCATGGAGAAGGTCAGCGAGATAATGAGGAGAGTCAGGGATNAGGAACGCCAATGCAGAGCCGCAACTTAGACGGAGAACCTACTGGAACCTTCTATCTACACCTAAGAACTTAGTAGGCTAGGAGGACGTACATTAGGCCGGAAAGAGGAAGAGCCAATAGCTGTGACCTCCCTCACGAAGTAATACTTAACGGTGGTGCCACGAGGGATTCAAAGGTTAGTGAATTTGTCTGATAGGAGTTTAGTGGGTATTGACAGTCACTGTCCGAGCCCCACACTCACCTGACGGGGGGAAGCCCCTACTCCCTCCCTCAGGTGGTCGTGCGTAAATGCATTTTCCAATAGACGAAAAAAGAAAAAAAAACACTCACACACACACACACACACACACACACACACACACACACACCTGTGGCAGTTGCCGGCGACTTCAATTCCTGGGCGGTCGACTGGGGCAGCAGGTACACCGACGTAAGGGCACGAGCACTACTGGAGGCTATGTCAACCATAGATCTAGTTCTCCTCAATAGTGGTGAAAAACCAACATTCATGAGGGGAGAGGCAAGTTCGATTGTGGACCTGACCTTTGTGAGCAGTGCCCTCGTGAGGGGTAATTACTCCTGGGAAGTGTTAGACTTATACAAAGCCAGGGACCACTGTGCAATACTATGGGAGGTATCGAGGTTCAGAGGGTTGGAGAAGCATGCCCGAAAACCAATACAATTGGCTGGAAGGTTAGTAACTTCGACCTTGACACGTTTTTGGTTGCGCTGGACGCTCGCCCAATCGATGGTAGAAATGTCATGGAGAAGGTCAGCGAGATAATGAGGAGAGTCAGGGATGCTTGCGATGCTAGCATGCCTCGAAAGCGCACTCAAAGCCGGCTCCCACCGGTACATTGGTGAGATGATCGAATCGCTACCCTCCGTAAGGAGTGTCTCAGGGCGAGGAGGTTATCCCAACGTAGCAGGAAAAGGCCAAACTCCGAAGAACTGGAGGCCCAATACAAGAGTGCGCGCCGAGAACTGAACAAGGCAATAAAGCGCAGCAAGAGGCAAGGCTAGAAGGAACTAGTGGATGGAGTTGAGGATGATACATGGGGAAGGCCCTATAAGGTCGTGATGTCATGGCTGAGAAGTCAGCCGATGCCCTCACCGACATGTCCCCAGCTCCTGGAGAAGATCGTCTCGGTGCTGTTCCCCCAACAAAGAGAGCTCAACCGGCTATCAAGACAATGTGAGATGGAGGCCATCCCGCCTATCACAGAAGATGAACTGACGGAAGCATGAGGTAGAGTAGGCAATACCAAAGCCCCTGGACCAGATGGTATACCAAACATTGCGCTGAAAGCAGCCATTAAGGCAGTGCCAGCGCTGTTTTTGGATGCTTACAATGCATGCATAACTGAAGGTTACTTCCCTCCGAAGTGGAAGCAGCAGAGGCTAGTGCTTCTCCCGAAAGGGAAGAAGCCGCCGGACGAGCCATCATCTTATCGTCCACTCTACATGTTGGATACAGCCGGGAAGATCCTTGAGCGAATCGCTCATAGGAGGATCGAAGCAGTAGTCGACCCGCTGCTTGCTGATGAGCAACATGGCTTCCGAAGGAATCACTCCACCCTGGATGCTATTGACATCATCGTCAATACAGCCAAGGAGGCGATTTCGGGAACCCGATTGAGAGGGGGCACAAAGAAGTACTGTCTGGTAGCAACACTAGACATCGAGAACGCCTTTAACTCTGCCAGGTGGGATTGCATCATGAGGGCTCTTGAGGCTTTTCATGTGCCCGAATACCTGCAGAAATTGGTCAGGAGCTATTTCACCGACAGGATCCTCAAATATGATACGCAGACTGGTCCCAAAGAGTATAGAGTCACCGAGGGAGTTTCTCGGGGCTCTGTGCTGGGTCCACTGCTGTGAAATATCATGCATGACGGACTCTTGAAGCTGACGCTGCCAAATGACGCGAGGCTTGTGGCATTTGCGGACGACGTTGCTGTGGTGATTGTGGCGAAACACCTGGCGGAGATCCATCTCACATTCCACCTAATCTTTGAGGAGATACGTCGGTGGATGGACGCAGTGGGGCTAACACTGGCAGAACACAAAACGGAGGCGGTGCTGATTACGAGTCGGAAAAAAGTTGTGACAATCACGCTGAAAGTTGGAGATTATGAACTCACTTTCCAACCGTTCATTTGGTACCTGGGAGTGATGATTGATCCCCGCTTGAACTTCAAGCATGTGGAGCACGTGGCAATCAAGGCCTCATGGGTTCGAACACTCTTATCCCGCCTCATATCAAACATTGAAGGTTCCCAACAAAAAAGAAGAGCGCTGCTGTCCACGGTGGTGACGTCAGTGCTGAATTATGGGATTCCCATCTGGGCCGATGCGCTCCAGTTCCAGAAATCTCGGCGTAAGATCGCTCCCGTCTATCGGCAGAGCGTCCTGAGAGTTGCTAGCGCGTACCGCATAGTGTCGGAAGATGCAGTTTGTGTGATCGCCGGAATGCTGTCCATCGAAGTATTGGCTGAAAAGCGGACGCGTCTTTACCAGCGGAGAAGGCACACTACATTGAGCCCAAAAGATCTCAGGGAAGAGGAGAGACGGAACAGCACCAGCCGATGGCAGGTGTTGTGGGATACCTCAGCGAAAGGAAGGTGGACTCAGCGTCTAATACCACAGTTAGATATTTGGCTGAATCGTCCCCACGGAGAGGTCAACTACTATCTGACGCAGATGCTCTCAGGACACGGATGCTTCCGGAAGTATCTTCATAATTTCAAACTTGAAGAGATCCCGGAGTGCCCGACCTGCAGTGGAGAAGGAGAAGATGCTGAGCACGTGTTTTTCAGATGCAAACGCTTCGCATGGCTTCGCAGTAGTTGGGAGACTACAGTGAAACAGAGAGTCCCACTTGAAGACCTGGTGAAAGTCATGATTTCATCGAAAGCAGCGTGGGACGCCACGAGCACGTTCGCAGCCGAAGTTCTGGAAGAACTTCGACGCGAGGAACAGGCCAGAAGGAAGTAATGAGAACAACCGAGAAGAAGGAAGCATTGTCTTCAACCACCTGATGGGAGAGCTGCGGCTAGGACCACCCCTGCGAAGTAATGCCTAATGGCGGTTCCGTGGGGGGAGTAGAATTACAGTGTCGTGATCTGTTTTTTAGTCCGTATGGGTTGCAAATTTGCCGAGCTGAAAGCAGGTCCCACTTACCGGGAGTGAGACCTGGGCTCGTGGTCGTTACCGTCAAGACCTGACCGACTCGGGCACAACGTGCGTAAAGAGCATTTTCCAGACCATGACGTAAAAAAAACACACACACGCACATACACACACAGGAGCTGCATCTAAGATATAAAACAGCACGCCGCAAACTCAGCAAGGCGATCAAATGCAGTAAAAGGCAATCATGGAGCGAGCTGCTTGATGAGGTGGAACCTGATCCATGGGGGAGAACGTATAAGGTGATGATGATGCGACTGAAGAGTCAGCCAATGCCATCGTCTACGTGCCTTGTGTTAATGGTGAAAATCGTCACGGTGTTGTTCCCGCAACAACCGGAACTTCACAGAACGGACGATCGGTGAGAAAAGATGATGGTTCCACCAATCACTAAGCAGGAGTTGATGGAAGCTTGCAATAGAGTGGGAAATACGAAGGGCCCTGGGCTTGTTGGAATTCTCATTATTGCGTTGAAATCAGCTATTTATGCGATGCCGGATATGTTCCTCGACGTTTACAACGAGTGCTTACGGGAGGGCACGTTCTCGGCCATGAGGAAGCAGCAGAGACTGATATTACTACCGAAACGGAATAAACCACAGGACGATCCTTCATCATACCATCCGCTCTGCATGCTCGATACCGGTGGGAAAATCCTCGAGCGTATTGTCCATCAACGAATAGAAGCAGTAATCGAAACCCTGTTGGCCGACAACCAATACGGGTTCCGCAGGTCGATCCACCCTAGACACTATCAACCTGGTCGTTAACACCGCCAGAAACGCGATCTCAGGGAAAAGATGGCTGAACGGCCCAAAAAAGTACTGCTTAGTAATTACTTTCGACATCAAGAATGCCTTCAACTCGGCCAAATGGGACCGTATTATCGAGGCTTTGGTGAAGTTCAACGTACCGGGATACTTGCAGAGAATGGTCACAAGCTGTTTCACTGAAAGAGTCCTCAAGTACGATACGGAGGGTGGTTCCAAGGAGTACCGAGTCACCGGAGGGGTACCCCAGGGATCGGTCTTGGTTCCTTTGTTATGGAACGTTAAGTATGACGGTCTGCTGAAGCCGGGACTACCGCAGGAAACCAAACTCGTGGCATTCGCGGATGACGTGGCTGTAGTCATCGTGGGAAAATACCTAGAAGAGATCAACTACTGCTTCGACACAACCTTCGAGACGGTCCGTCATTGGATGGACGCCGAAGGTCTGAAGCTGGCGGAGCACAAGACAGAGGCCGTGCTGATTACCAGTAGAAAAACCGAGACCATAACGCTGTAGGTCGGGTCTTGTGAATTTACTTCTCAGCCATTCATTCGATACCTGGGAGTGATGATCGATGCCCAACTCAATTTCAAGCAACAAACTGAGCACCTAGGAGTAAAAGCGGCTGGAGTCAGATCCATTTTATCGTCATGCTGGCTACTTATAGCTAGCGGGGGGTAGGGAGGAATGCAAATTTGGATTATTGCAATCGCTTGGTGGTTCGAAGGTGGTCAAAGGTAGTCCACTTTTAGCTTTTTGGTGGTAAAAATCAATTAATTATAAATAATCAAAAATTTCACTCGCAGCCAGCGGAAGGGATGCATCGTTTTTTCAAAAATGCAACATGAATTTATGTGTAGAATCCTGTGGTGGTCAAAGCTGGCCCAACACCAAATTCATCCGTTCATTTTTTTAACTGATAATGAATAATGTTTATCGGGTCTATCTTACCGAGAGGTATTCCCCCCACCACTTCCCACTCCGGGCCCTTTAAATCATTTCGGAGCACGTTTGGAGGTTACAAAATTGGTTTAATGAATAAGAATCTCAGACTTAACTTCTTTTGTTATTCAATTTATATTTTTTTAATGAACGTGGAGTGAATACTACTAAAAAATATAATTGAACTTATAACGGAGCATTATTCGTCCGAGTATAATCGTACTCAATTGTTTGGAAGTGACCCTGAGAAGATGAGGATCGAAAAAAATGCAACGATAAATTTCAAATCATTTTCCCCGCTCCTATATTTTTTAGATCTACAGCGGTAGTACAGTCACACTGTTCAAGACTGATTGCACCCATGCGACAACTCCAGAATAAATTCATCAAGGAGTTGAACCACCTGACCAGTATACATATACGAGATGATGTGAGTCCTGAAAGGAATCATTCATTTAGAGTCATCACTTTTTCATTCCGTTGATTCACGGTCACCAGGAGAAAAAGAAGCTCCAGCTGTATTATGCTAGTGGTAGTGACCATCTCGAGGCTGTTCCAGGGTAAAATGTGATTAGAAACTCATCTCGAGGAAGCAAGGGTACAGGAAGAAATACCATTCCCATTTTTTTTTTTTTTTCAACAGCTTAGTACACGACACAAAAGGTCTCTACAGCTGGATGAAAAACCATAAGTTTCAGGAATATATAAGGAAGATTTTTCAGGACGGTGAAACCGAGTGTGAAATAATACAGTGCAAACAATGCAGTATGCACAGCGTGAAAATCATTTTCTGCCGAATTTGTTAGACTTTCAAAGATCGGTGGGTCTGGTGAAACATCTCCAAAAATTGTTTCGATAGAGAATTAATTTTCTTCCGTGATCATCTCTCGTAATATTCCGGAATTCTCAATCGCTTCCATAGTTTTGGACCCCCAGCAGCCGGTCCTGGCTTTATCCAGTTCGAAATCATTCATTGAACCTGCATCTCATTTCACCCAGTTTGCTTTATTTGTTTCCAATACCTCTGCGGTGAGAATATATGAACTTCAAGAAATATAAAATTTTTATTGATCTAGAAGCATATCCCTAGTATATTCCAATCCATGTCATTGAGGCACTCTTTCATTATTCTGACGAACAATTTTTTTATAAAATAAGCGTCCATATCGGAAGATGATCTATCTGATTTTAGGCATCGGATAAGCAACGGCACGTTCCCTCTTTGGGTTGATTGGCTAGTAATTTCCCTACTAATAAGATTCTGATACACAAAGATTGAATTCATCATTCGATTCGACCTCATCATTTCTATTCTGAAGGCATGTATTGGTGGTTATATCTCGGAGGAATTCTTTGGTATTTTCAGTCACAGAATTCTATTTTTTAGATTTAGATCTTTTCATAATTTTTATAATATGATAGAATGGTTTTTGATTTTTCTATCACTGTAGATCTGTTGATAGTTTTTAGATTTTTTAACAGAAGAAAAGTCAGAGAAGAAAAAATACAGTGGAAAGAAACTTAGCAAATTCGTGGTCGGGAGTTTTTATAGACGAAATATCCACGGAATACAAATATCGGTGGTATAAAAGTAGCATATGTTACTTTTTTTCTCTCTATATAATGAAAAAATAAGGATGTTTAAAAATTCAGGAGTACCCCCTAGGTCTGGAGGGTCACAGGGGTCTCAGGAGTCACAGGGTTTGGAGGTTCACAGGGTCTGGAGGGTCACAAGGGTCTGGAGGGTCTCAAGCATCTGGAGGGTCTGGTTAAGGGTCTCAAGGGCACTCCCCCATATTAGGGCACCCCCATATAAGAGCACCCCCCATAGAAGGACCCCCCCCCATCTATGAAAAAATAAGGAAACATAAGGATGAGTCGTAGAAACTGTAAGAAATCTAAATGCCATTCTTCCTTCTNCCCCCCCCCCCCCCCCCTCTGAAATCTGATCCATACTGTGACTCTAATCTTCACCCTTATGTGTGATTTTTACTGCAACTTTATTTTTAATGGGAAAAGAATAAGTTGTAGAAAATGTGAGAAATCTGAATGCCATTCTTCCACCCTTCTATTCTTTCTTCTGTTTGTCGAAGCCAACTTCATTCCAAGCATAATCATTGGCTATTAATCGCAAAAATTGTGGGTATCACATTGCAAATGCTAATATACATTGTGCTAATATACATTGTGAAGTGACCAACCGAGTTTAAGAGTAAGTGAAATAATTATTTATAAAAACTCATTTTATAAATAGAGCCTTTCTCATAATTTTAGAAACGAAATTTTTAGATGGATCAAGTTTGACATTAGAACTGTCAAATATGAAAAAAGAAGACGAGAAGATAATGAGAATTAATTCAAGCTACCGTGACAATGTTTGCATTCAGTAATGGGATACTCTGTCTATACTTCACTATCAACTTTCTGGTCTTCCAAACAATGACAGAGTGTTCAGTAGTCATAGGTTTATTAAGTAAATGAATACCTTAAACTCTTGCCTATGTACCTATACCTATGTGCCTACGTGGACAAACTGGATTTACGCGTCTTATGGTTTCATAGCCAAAGTTCTCGGCGAAACCTATGAAAAAATATGGACCGCAGAAGCCCAAAACATCCACGACAAGAGAACTCGCCAGTTTCAAGATCTTGAGATTGAAAATGATTTATGGAATAGAGAGCAGTGTAAAGAATGCTGGGACATCTTTGATCTCCACACTTTATTTTATAACGTTCCTTTTGAACAAATCCACCCTCAAAATGTAAGTAATGTTTGGACCTTGTTTTTCAAGAAAAAAAATATACATAAAAATAATATAACGTTCATTTTTTCATGACACACTGATAACTGGGATGATAACGAGCAACCCCCTTACTCGAATGTTCTGTACATGAGGGCCATAAGAAACGTTGATGAAGGAGGATATCTTGATGAATTTTTTAACTGGGAAGCAATTGATCATCTGGTGCACAGAGAGCTTGCCGAATGAAAGGAGAATGAATTTCTATAAAGATAACACCATTTTCATTTTGATAGAAACTCACTTAAAATAAGTTAGAGACCTTATGTTTCTCCGGAACTTGTCTTATAA